TTATTTATCTTTTTTTTTTTCCAATATAGTCTCTTCACCTGTTGGGAGTATACATTTCTGTATTGGTATGATAATCTTTGTAGTAATTGATGTAAAATCATAGTGCATTACTAGTTACTTTAGGTCCAATCTTATATTTTTTCTCTGATTACTCATATCACTGAAACTTTCAGTAAGCATAAATTATATGTGTAATTTACAATATTATAATTTTCTTTTCATGTTTATCTTCCATTTTTTAATGAATTTGGTTAGATAAATTTACCAAAGAAACATTGAGAAGGGAGATTTTTGAAATACTTGAATAGTTTATTTCTCAGTAATGCAAAAAATCTTGTTACGCTACTCAGAAGGGATATTGTGTGTTATTTTTTGTTGTAGTGATTCTTTGTTTTCTATTATTGTTTATCATTACTTATGAAATCTTTTTGGTACTTTCATTTTCTTAATTTTGATGTTTATGTCTGAACTTTCTCTGACATATTTAAGAACCGTCCTTAAAAGAATTTTTGATTGCAAGATTGTCAAAGAATTTGTCTTACACTCAATCTATAAACTATTTTGCAATTTTGTTTGTTAACCCAATGCTAACGGAGAAAGGTTGCATTCACTTTAGTATTGTTTTGTTAAATGTTTCTGTACATAGATGGCTCTACCAGTGCTTAGCCACAAAGGAGTCAGTTAGTAGATCTTGTGACCTCACCTTTCCTTGAAATAGCGAGAAAACTCTTGACACTGCTAACAGCAGTATTAACCCATTGGTTGTGGATGGCATCATATGATGCAAAGTGCAATTGATGGCCGATCCCTTAGAGCAATGGGTGGCTGCGCAGCCTGGGAGCTGAGCGGGCCAGGAGATATCAGCTGCCAAGCCGGTGTCTCTCTAGCGGCCTTCCAGGGCCTAGGCCTGCCACCCTGGGCCTGTGCGGGCGATGGGGTGTTACCCATCAAAGGAGTTGAACACCTTTGGCGTGTGCTAAAACCAGGCCCTCCACTCTTTCTGAGTGCATTTATGTATATTTGCTTGCTTGCATGTATTTGTATGGGTTTATATATACTTTTGCAAACATATATTTTCTCATATATACATGTACAAACACATATGCGTGAAGGAGCGAAAGCATCACTGTCACAGCGTGCACTCTCCAGCGCAGTCCCATGCGTGGCCCGAGTCCAAAATAAATAATGCTACAGGATTACCCGCCACATTGCAAAATACCGCAACCAGTGGGTTTAATAATAGAAAATGTTATTGAAAATCAAGGAAAAGGTTAAAGAGGTAGTTCACGTAATTGGCTCATTGGTGACTTAGTACTTTTGGAGCCATCTATATTTAAAAACAATTACTAAATTAAACACGCAGTGGGCATGACATGTATACACATGCCATCCCTGGCGGCAAGTGGTTAAGTTAAAATTTAATCATAACAAGTATTTACGTTTGATAATAATCCAGTGTAATAATTTAAAAAAATTATTATTGCAATGAATCTCAATATAATGACAATAAGGCATGCAGTGCCATTTGTATTTTTCAAAGAGTAAATGCTGGTAACATGGAGGAAATGGCTCAATTAATATTTGACAATGAATAAAAGCGCATGCAAATTTTCCTTATTATTACTGATACGAGCTTACCTCCTGCAAATGTATAAATACATTGTTGTTATCTGCTGCTCATAAGGACAATAAAAGAGAGCCTTTATGAGTGTAGGACACCACAAGAGTTGTCTTCGGCTTCCTATGAGTTATAGACAAATATTGATTGTGAAGGAAATATTTGTGAAGTCATAGACAAAATTGCTGAGTCAAGGGACATTTGAAGAAAGTGCCTATTGTTTGTTTTTTTGTAATTTCTTTAAGAATGCTCGTTTTGGAACTACTCTTTGTGTTATTAGTTATCATGATTTTCTTTGGATGAGTTGAGGATATTATTATTTATTTATATATATAATATATATATATATATATAATATATATATATATATATATATATATATATATATATATATATATATATATATATATATATCCCCCCCCCCCAAGATTTGTGCTCTCAAAGTAACTCTTAATTGTAATTGAAACTATTTCCTATTATTGTGCCTTTAATGATGTTGATTTAAATTGTTATCAAATTTATACGCTTTTTAAGGAACAGCATTTGTATACTGGTGAAGGAGTTGAAGTTAAGAATAGTAATGAATTGTAGCCATACTAGAAGTTCTTGATTATGAATGGCTTCTTTTGTACTCTAATCGTTGTGTACCTGTGTATGTTCTCTGATACCCAGCAATTACTGTTTTGCATTGATAACTGCAGAAAGTAATTAATTGTGGGAAAGGGAAGATAGAATATTGACAAGAATTCTCATTGGGTGACTCAGGTTCCGTATAGTATATTCTCAAAGAAAACGGTTATAATTTTTGAGTGTAGAACTATAGATCTTTTGTTTTAAAGGTAAATTGAATGAAGATTGTTTATATTCATAACTACAGTTTGTTACATTTGTATACAATTATTTTCTTACACATTTAGATTCTAAACTGAAATTAAGGTATATTTGATGTTAGCTTTGAATGTTGAATAGATAAAAATCACCTTGACCAATACTTTTTTTTCTTTTCCTTCTCAAAGTTTGTTGTTATAAGTGGATATGATCTATGGGCATAAGGGCACAAAACTGAATAGGCAATGTGCACAAGCAAGAAAGCTGGAAAGCTACTTGTATACCATGAAGTTTGCCAGCCTGTCATGTCCTCTCTTCTCATACCTCCATAGTGACAACTATGCCCAATCATATGGGCAGACCTATACCACCTTTATAATGCAGCCACATGCTCTTCAGATACAGGAAAGGCCTCTAATAAATGGCAACACCTTATTCTCGGCCTCGGTCCTCATCTCCTAAGCCCCCCTTGTTGTTGTCATGGGGGGCTTAGGAGACCAAGACTGAGGTCCAATGAGAGGGATCAGCCACCCTGCCTTGGACCGCAGCCATCAGCTAATTTTGCATGGTATTTTCATCCCAACTTTTCCTTATCCTTCTCTTCTTCACCCCCCCCCCCCCTGCCCACATCCTAAGATGCAAGAGCCATGATGAAAATCTGGCTTTGTCACTCCTGAACAGCCTTCAAACTTTGCTATTCCCTCTTTACCCTTTTCACTACCATACTAACCTACAGCACTCTACAACCTTTGCCATGTAACATACTTTATCCTAATTGCCGCAGAAATTTTTCAATAAATATACAATTATTCTCTGCCAATAGTAGCATATAATGTAAAAAATACATCACTGCTTTTGCCTAATGGTAAGTTGCATATTCTGTCAACCACAAAGGGCTTACTTAAAAGTGGACTACCTTCATAGGAATCTAAATGGTGAATCAGAAATGGATAAGAAAAAAAAAATCAATAGTACAATTCTTGTTCTTCATATCATGGTGTAGGAGTGCAGCTTGGTAAATATGGTGTTAATGTTTACAGTAATTTTTATTTCACAGGGATTGTTTTGTGGTCTGATGTGCTAATTACTGGAATAAATAAAAAAGTTTGTTATAAAAAATCCTACTTCCAGTTTATTAACACTAACTAAACATCTCTCTCACCTTGCATATTCATCAAAGGAGAATATTCACTGACTATTTTTTTCTGAAATCAATGTCTTTGGTGGAAATAAAAACAAGGATGGCTTTAAGACAATATACATTTTTCTTTGCTCAGCCTTTGATGCAATATATTAAAGCAAATAATTCAACCCTTAATGAAGAATTGTCCTTCATACAAAATTTAAGACTGAATAAAATGAATAAAATATATTTTTCCTGTGGCAATGTATTACAAAAATTAATACAATAGGTAGTATTTACTAAGCTTATTTATCCAAATGCTTATTAGTCTAAACAAATCCTGTCATCCAGTACTGTGTCAAAGGCTGTATTTGTCTGATTTTATTTTATTTATTTGTTTTTTTAAGAGCAAGAGAGAAAAAGGGATTGAAGAATACAAAAAATACTTCTCTCCAGCTCTACGTGTCATAAAAAATGTACATTTCCATACACTAGATTTTATTACTCACATTTAAACGTCTTACTTAAATCTGTTGTAAATAAGCACTTCCCTAACAAGGTAACCTTGATAACATTAACATTACACTGTAAATACTCTAAGTTACAAGTAAAGACTTGCAGCAAACACAATATCTCTCTTCAAAAGCTTTACTCCCTCTGAGAATTTATTTTCAAGGTCAATTCCTATGGCTTTAGAGGCCTGAATCATCTGTCTCAGCAGCTCCTCTAGACGACGCATGGCTCGAATTATGCTTCCTGTAAAGATAACAGAATCATGATCAGAATGCTGAAAAGTATAAAAAGTGCAAAGGAAGAGGTGGGGGAAGGCAGAGGGAGGAGGTAGTGGATGAGACAAAAGGAGGAAGGAGAACAAAGGGAAAGTGGGAGGAGTAGGGAGAAGAGATGAGAGATGAAATCATAAAGAGAAGAAAGAGAAAGTGGGAGACGGGAAGAGAAGAAAGAGCAAGTGGGAGAAGATGAGAAGAGAAAAGAACAAAATATCATTCTTCCTACAAAGAAACATGTAAACATGCAAAAAAAACTTTCTTTTTTAATAAGCAAGATGGACTAAAAATCAATGTCTTACCTTCAAAGATTTCTGTCTTTTTGCAGAGTTCCATGAATGATGCACCATTGCACCAGTCATATACAATATCCATCAAAAATGGTCTGAACTGCTCTACATAATTTTCTTCATCAATCTGTAAATACAAAAGAATAGTCAAAATAGATCCCAAAAGAAAGAATAAATACTAAAAAGATAATGGCTTTCAGTGAAATTATCTTGAAAACACGGACAAAATAATGACTCTTATCCTCTTAACATCTTGTGGACAGGTTCTGTAATATTAGTCTATGAGTTAAGCTGGAAAATGAGTTTCCAGAAGACATTATTGATAAATGAGTTCAATATGCCAGATGGAACTCAAATAGTCAGCATTACAGACTTATGCCTCTCTACTTCCTGTGCTCACTCAGTTTCTACTTAAACAGTTACTTTAATTCCACAAAAAAGGACAAAGAAACTGGATACAAGTGATATCTATGATGCTCACATACATGTGGCCAGATATAGACATTTCTGGAACTATATTGCAGGTAAAATAGCAAATGATAAATGTTCCTTCTTTCTTACAATACCTATGTGTTTGCAGAAAACAAGATGCCAAGACCTTGACTGATAGTAATTGTATAAGGAATAAGAGGAACTTCACAGTATCACTTCCACAAAATGAATCACTGGTGGCCACTGTTAATAAAAGATGAATACCTATATATTTGGTTCTTGTTTACCATTACTGAGTAGTTTCAATATGCAAAACATGTTCATGTATCCCCTTGGATGTGTGTGATCACGTCATGAAAAAATTTGGCTAAGAGCTGGGCGATGAGAATGACTTGCTATGGTTGCACAAAGCTCTTGGAGAGTGATTACTCGTGGGCATTTAAGATGGGCCTCTTACATTATTTTCATCAGGAAACAAATGCAGAGTGTAATATCCATGAGCCATGACTAGAAGAGCAGTGGCTCCAAGAAGGACACTATTTCCATGGTCAGGATCCTATTCCTTCTTGCCATGGCTGGCAGTGCAGAGTGCTTTACAGCAAAATTTTATAAAAAAAAAAAAAATAAAAAAAAATAAATAAATAAATAAATAAATAAATAAAATAAAATAAATAAATTACACAAATAGCAAAATGTTACTTGTTGTTATTGTTATTGCACAAGAGAGTCTGTGCAAGAAAAATTCTATTACCATCTTAATACAGCACATCAAATGACAAATATAGTGCAAGAAAATGAAAAAAAGCAAGTACCACTTATGCCAAAACAGATAACATTGGAAAGGGGAGGAAATGAGTCTTGACACAACAAGTATTTGTCTGGGCCGGCCTATAGGCCACACACTCTGGAGAGATGCCACTCAATAAGCCTAATACCTGTTAATCTGTTAATATCTTAAATGACCAGGGGTGAGGGAGGTGATTGACCTGGTTTATTCTCTACACCCTCAAGAAAAAAAGACAAAGGAAAAAAATTATCCAGTTTCTTCTCCAATGACTATGTTTGTTCAAATTGCATAATACATGCTTATCTCATACTTTATGATAAACTTTACTCATTCCAGAGAAGTTTAAATATGACTGTGCATTGCAATAAGAAATTAAGATATTTCAGGGACAAATATTAGGTGTACGTTTTTTCTACCGGAAGAAAAAATCAAATAGTCTAGTTTTGTTTGTTTTGTATCAGAGGGATGATAAAAAAACACTGCAAAAGAAATATGAACACCAAGACAGTAGTTTAACCCCACTCCCTATGATAAGATTTTAGAGTCTGACAAATCTGATGAACTTGTAATTCTGAAGTGAAATGCTATCATAGGGAGTTATAATTAACTGCCACAACTATGGCCTTCCGTGACCACACACCCTCCTCCTCCTAGACTATCTGCTTCTGAACATCTATGCCAAGTATTACTTATCTATCTGGCAGCAAGGCACTGCACAAACCTATACTGAACCTGCAAGTTCCCTCCC